TTATAACGCCCCCACGGCTGAAAGAGCGAGCATGTTTGGTGGGATGGGGATGCGAACCCGCGACCCGCAGATTGCGAGTCGAGCGTCCTAACCACCTGGCCATGCCGGGCTATAGATAACAGACATGCAAAGACAGACAGGGAGAGAACAATCCACAAATTTCTGAGTGATATATATATATATATATGATAAACGTTTTTCATGTATGTTTTAATAGTTGCATGAGTGAACAGCAAAAAAAGTGCTCATTGTTTAAAGTAGTTTAAGTTACAAATAACCATTCTAAATATGACTTCTTCGAGGTCCTTTTTTAACAATAAATTTAAAAGCTTATGGCTAAGGAGGAAAGCTCCAGCCTCCTCACCCAAACCATCCTCTTCATTGTGCTCATGGATACACACAAATAGAATGATAAGTATGGATGTATCAAAATAACAATTTTCAAACACAATACCTCGACTTAGTGCCTTTACTGAGGCCCGGCATGACCAGGTGGTCAGGGAGCTCGACTCGCAATCTATGGGTTCGAATCCCCGTCCCACCAAACATGCTCGCCCTTTCAGCCGTGGGGGCGTTATAATGTGACGGTCAATTCAGCTATTCCTTGGTAAAAGTATCCAAAGAGTTGGCGGTGGGTGGTGTTGACTAGCTGAATTTCCTTCTAAGTCTTCCACTGCTAAATTAGGGACGGCTAGCGCAGAAAGCTCTCGTGTAGCTTTGCGCGAAATTCAAAACAAATAAACCCTTTACTGAAAGTTTACATACTTAGCGATGTTTTGAAAATAATTCATTCTAGAAAAAAAAAAGAAAAAGGAAACTAGCAGTGACTAAAAATTGCAAAGTCACTAGAATTTGGAAACAACTTCAATGGTTAATGAAAGAAACTTCCTCACAAATGTACAACGTTTCGAGTAAATTATGTCGTCATCAAATTTGAATACGTCAAATTACATCCTGATATAAAAAGGCGACTATTGATAAAACAAAGTGTGGGGGTGGGGATGGGGAGGGTGGGGGGTGCTACCATTTCTTTCCTAAAGATACAGCTAAAATGCTATAAATTTCTACATTTTTATTTTTACACTGCATTATTATTGAAGCCATATTTTCACGCACGGTGTCATTTGACACCATAATAATAACTAATCGGTACAGAGACGTACAACTGAACATTGATTCGGCACTCATTATGGTGTATAGTTAATATCGTAATCTTTAAATGCACTTGTTGGACTTACAAATACATAACACCATATAGTTCACAACAGCATCGTGCATGTCTGTCACAAAATTAATAAGTATTCAGACTCTTGTTTTTTTCTCTTCTTGACTTTACTAACCACTATCTTACAGCATTAGTTTATTACGATATTACATTTAGTTTATAAAATGTGACTACAGTTAAATGTTTGATTAAATCTGTCTTCTAGATTAAGAGTATAGTAATATGATTAGTAAGCAGTTTTTACCGTCATTACGTGAACAGGAATCGTGTCAATAACGTCAGGAATAATATCATTTTCCTCCATATCTTCTGTAGATGAAGAACACAGCGTGAAGCAATTTCTTGCTGTGGACACATAAGATGTTTCATAAAACGCTAGTGTTTTACCAAAAGATAATAATGATAAATATATTCTTAGTTTTTACTACATTACTGCTAAGTCAGCCTAAGCTGCTTAACCTAGATTATTTAAATTTTGAGAGATCTTATAAAATCTAAAAATCTGGAACCGTCCATTTAAGATTCGTTTGTCATCGCTCTCGCTCTCAGACAAATACTTTATAAAGATTGTTTGTTTGTTTGTAGTTATGCACAAAGCTACACAATGGGCTATCTGTGCTCTGCCCACCACGGGTATCGAAACCCGGTTCCTAGCGTTGGGGGGGGGCACTTTATAAAGATTGAACATACAAGATTAAAACTTCTTACAATGTGTTTAATTTTAATTAGTTGTCTTTTTTTAAATCCATGCCATTTTTTCATGCCAGATCTATGTCAAATCATTAAAATAAAAAATATTATAAACTATTTCAGAATATCGCGCAAACCTGTGGTAGACGGCTTTCATTTCGAACTGTTACTGATAAACTAAAAATAAAGATTAAACTGCGTTATCAAAATACAAACTTTTAATTAAAAAAATATATATATTTTGATAACATCGTCAATAACATTCTACTGTCCATTAAGTAGCTGAATTTCACTGCAAACTCGCAACGTATACCGTTTCTTTTCGTTTCCGTGGGTCCGTCGCAAGTAACAAAACTCGTATTGTGCGGGAAATAAAAATATTGTTATGCATTATTACCAGATAAACTACCTGTATTCTTTGTTTTGAGATATCTTAATGAAACCATTCATCTCACATAAATAATTCTTATCATTTTTAGCCCATCGAACCTGAGTCTTGAATAACTGCTAAGCCTACTTACACTGTTACAGTTACGCTCCGAGGCTGAACGTGGGTAGTGTTGTTACCGTTTCTGACGTACGAAGCTTTCGACGAACGCGACAGTTGACTCTACGGAGTTTTACAAACACAATTTCCTTCAATGATCTTTTCCCTGGCGGGGAATGGTGTGGCGATAAGATATGGATTACAATCCCTTTTATCAGCGCTGTTGTTGCATATAACTAAGGCTGCCAAGATATTTCATGGTCCCCCCTCCTCTATTCCCGTGGAGTGGAAAGGGAAGCCAGCGTACACAGTACACGGTATTATGTTTAGTAGTACATCTATCAGCTGATAAGGAAATAGTATTATGACACAAAACATTGTTATCACTTGATGAAACAAATTTTCAGTTTCATTGTTGGTAGAAATGATCCATTACAGTATATATATTTATCATCTTGCATTATCTAGTCTACTGGCCTAGCGTTTTGAAATAAACCCGCGAGTGAATAATGTATTCATATTTTAACGTTCTGTAGACTTAAGTCAAAGACGCCCCAGTTTTATTTGTATCGCCTTTGCTGATCAGGATCTCCAGAACAAAAATGCGATTACCTCCATATATCCACATTACTGCTTCTATAGATCCTGCATGTAGCCAGTAACTTTTAGAGTGAAGATATCATTGACCTCTGATTATAACAAGAAGATGGCAGTGAAGCTGGAGTCTTGTTAGTATTGCGGCTGTTGAAACTCAAAATTTTAAAATACAGCGTATTTTTATTCATAAATTAATACACATGGAATGCAGTTATCTGATATATTCCTCTGTACAATATGATACTTCTGGAGTGAGTAAAGGGCTACAGAAGAGATTGACAAGGAGTTGCACTTCTTGCCTAAGCATTAGGAAATTTGTAAAACAACCAGTTGACTCAGTTGCGTAGTAACCCAACATGCCTGCACATATCAATTAATCTGACAGTTTTTGAAAGAGGATTAACAACGTCCAGAGCAATTCTCTCCAGGGGTAACATAATACGAGTTTTTTCTAGCATAGTTTTACTAATTGGCAGTACATCAATTACAATATATATATACCATTGTTGAATGTCTTTATGGAAATACGAGTACAAAAACCACTTTTGTATGCTCTCAATAATGCAGGACATTTCTAGTCTTTGCATTATTCAAAATCCAGTCATCTCCGTTTATAATGGTGGGATTATTCGTGTTGCGGATTATCCGTGCAAAAAACACATTTCTCTTTCATAATTTCTTCCCACGCACTGATGATACTGCTTTATTGCACGTGTTCCAATAACCATCGAATCAAAGTCAAGTCCTGTACAATAGTTCTTCTGTGTCTCAAGCTGTCGTGTGTCATAGTTGGTGTGACTGTATTATTGTATTGTGATAGTTAAAATGGCTGAAAAACGAGAGAAAGTTGTATTGACGATAAAATAAAAACTTGAACTAATCAATAAATTAGAGAAAGAGAAATTTGCAGCTAAATTTACTTAAGACTGTTTTATTGTTGCACAAACAGTTTCAGAAAAAAACAAAGCAAAGTTGGTTGAGTTTGCAACAAGGTGTGATAGTGACCTTCTGAATGAAAGTCTATGAAAATGTCAAATTATGAAAAATTAGATGTGGCTATGCTTCAGTAGTTCAACCAAAAAGAGCATAAGGAACACCAATACTAGACCTATGTGTAATGCAGCACACGAAGCATTAAGATTGGAAGAGAAATTTGACACATCATTTGAGTGGCTCACAAGATTTAAGCAAAGATATGACATTCATAAAGTCACCATTTAAGGTATCGAATTTTAATGTGTTTTACACTAAAAATCTTCCAAAAATAGAGCTTTCTTGTTTATCTTATTTTTTTCTATTATCCACGCATTATCTCCCTTCAATTACTCTCAATAATTGAGATTTGACTTTATAGTATTTCCTGTCTTAGAACAACGGGAGTTATTGGTGCTATGCTTCACAGGTTGGCTACCACATCTGATGGTTTATAATAACTGTACCTGTCATACTATACCCCTCACTGACCACACACGTGACAAATATTGCCCACATCAGTATTACACTTGCCATTTAATGATGGGCATATATTATCTTACTGCATGGCAAGTAGTGTCTTAGCCTTCAGTTGCTTTTTCCAGTGTTCCTGATTGGTCATGTTTGGTGTCCATACAAATGTACAATTTTCACTGCTCATATTGTCCACTGTTACTGCATCTGCAACAGGTCTAATTGCTGCATGTTGTCCAGGATCTGAATATTCAATGAATGGATGTGATCTGATGAGTTGGCAAAGTTAGTAATTCCCAACTGTTGTTGATCTTGATTGTGTTGTACAATAAAGATGTACTTTTACAATATAGTTATCCAATATGTAATCATGTCCTCTGGGTTTTTGAAGATCATTGATCATTTCAGTGATGTTTGGTCCACTTTAATGGTGATCTTACTATCACATAAGAAGTGGTAATCCTTATCAAATACTACAAATGAAAGCAGTTCTTTCTTCGATGTACAGTATCAGTACTCAGGAACACTCAGTATATGACTGGCATACACGATCACACATTCCATAACATCCTGCCTATGTGACAATACTTCGTCAATTAAACTATCACTTGCATTTGTATCCAGGATAAACAGACGAACTTGTTTGTTTGAAGTTAAGCACAAGGCCACACAATGGGCTATATTTGCTCTGCCCACCATGGGTATCGAAACCCGGTTTCTAGTGTTGTAAGTCTGCAGGTATACCACTGTGCCACTGGGGGGGGGGGCGACAAACTTGAAAAGGATAACCCAACACCGATGCTTCAACAAAGGCTTTATTGAAGGACTGGAATGCGTCTTCATATCCTGGATGTCCCCACAAACTGCATTTCAGCCTTAGTCAGTTTGTTTGTTTTTTGAATGTCGTGCAAAGCTACACGAGGGATATCTGTGCTAACCATCCGTAATTTAACAGTGATAGACTAGAGGGAAAGCAGCTAGTCAACACCACACACCGCCAACTCTTGGGCTACTCTTTTACTAATGGATAATGGGATTGATCGTCACATTATAATGCTCCAATGGCTGAAAGGGCAAGCATGTTAGGGGACGGGGATTCGAACCCACGACCTTTAGTCAGTACTGACAGTGGTGTGGCCATTTGAGAGAAAAGCATTGATAATACAACGAGAAACTTAGAAAGTTGTATATTTATCATTTCATTTAAGGCAATGGTTAGTCTTGGACCACTACAATCTTTACAAAATCACTAGACACCACATCTCTACTGACTGACACTGAAAATTGCACTTTCTAATGCATAAGTACCGCACTTTCTAAGTTTAAATTACAAGCCTGTATGTTTAATGCACTGAGATCCCATTGTCAGCTGCAACTTGAAACATGCAGCCAAAAAACAGGCATGTCGTCCACAAATATGAGACATCTCTCCCATTACAGTGATCTATGTGTACTTCTATCAGCTTCTTTAAAGTGGCAAGCACGTTACGGGGATCAAATGGCGTGACATGGAGTTCATGTGAGTGCTGAAAGTAATCTAAGAGCTAATTTTGTCATATATTTCGGGATGCTAATGCACAGAAGCCTGAACTAATGTATTGAGCCTTGGCAGCATTCCAATGCATCCACAAATTAATCTTTGCACCATAAAGAAAAGAGATGAACATGAATGAACACGTTAACTCATCTGTAGTTCATTGGCATTTCATCTTTCTTTCTAACAATTACCACTGGACATATCAAATGTTGCATTACTCCGTCCTTCAACATCTGCTCAAGTACAGTCCTGGTTGCATCCATGATGCTTCAAGGAAGCCTTGTGGTGCTTTTTTATCTGATACATCTTACCCATATCTATGTGGTGATATATGATCCCATAAACACATCTGCAAGTTCCCTGAGTAATTCATTAAGTTCAGGTCATTGTACTAGGCTCAAATTGTTTGCACAATCCTCATCTATAAACTTCAGATGCTTCGAAAGTTGTGTGTTTGTTCTAGGATACAGTACAGTGACTGTGACACTAGCTACTTGGCTAGTTTTTGTCACTTCTGCCTCTGTTATCATGGAGATGACCATTCCAGATGAAAACTGAATAATCAGGTGTATGTAATTCCAAAGTAGAGTTTAGACTAATCACTTATAAAATATTGTTTTTATGCATTGGTTCTATCACCACAGCAGTTAGTAACACACTAGACTGCATCTGTAGTTCATCACGAATACTATTTGTATCTTATGGAGAATTATCACATGCTTTTCAATGCTCACACTCTCAGTTTATTGTTATTGGACCCAATCTAGTTGGCACTAATTGTTTTATTGCAATAGTGCACTTCATCTGTTGCACAAACAACAGTAGCTGACAATTTCCACAATAGACATATCCTAAAGATACCAGCGTCTGAATAGAGTCAGAAAGAACTACCTTCAGTTGGTGTCCAATGTAACTAAGGTGAAGTCAGAGACTTGCTTCATCACTTATTTCTAGCTTATAGCCATTCACAAGAAAATTACGTTGTGCTAATTGACTTAAGTGGTGGCATTCCATGGAGTACTTAATACTTAATAAAAAGGTGATTAAGGTTCTGGCTGCTCCAGCATCCACTAAAACTCAACTTTAAACCCATGTATCATTATCAAAAACAAATCACGTGATGGCTATTGTATGGTTCTCTGAATTAGTCACTACAATGTATGTGGGTCTACTGCTGTACTGATCTAAGTTGGTGACCAGACCCAATGCAGACTCTACCAGTTTAAGCTAAATGGAGTAGCTGTAGCCATAGCTCAACCTTCTTGCAACTGTTGTAGTATTGGTCTGAATGGTACTCACATCCAGCAGTCCTATTTGGCAACAGGATATGGGAATTCACAAAACTAGCGATGATTAGGTAAGCCACAATTGAAACAGATGCTGTTTTTTCATGCTCTTGGTGCATTTGGGAGTTCAACTCCAGCTGCATTTGTTACATGATCATAGGAACTCGACCAGAAAAACCCTGTTGTTGTATATCTAATCACGGTGTTTGTGTCACGACATCTTGCAACATCTGATACATAGGGGCTGGTGTTTGACATTATCGTGCCTTGGGGCCATCATGGACCCTGAAAGTTGTCTTACATCGAGCCCACAGCTACAGTTGCTACAGCAGCTGGCTTCTTCCATTGCTCCAGCTCACAGTTTAACATGATCACTTCAAACTGCATCACCACAAAAATATCTCTATGAGAGATGAAATGTTTCTCTGACTGATGTAGTTCTTGCATGTATTTACTTGGCAGCCCTCTCTATAATATTGTCAAAGAGTATCTCATTGTGATCTATGAGGCACTTTTTTCCATGTCAACTAAATGAATTATCTGGGTAAGCAGTTAAGTTTTGTGTTTTCCTCAGCCCTATGGATTGCCCTGTTTTCTACAGGTTCAAAATTTCTGTCCCAGTCACCATTTAACTGCTCGAAGACCATTTAGACTCGGCATAATATGTTTGTACTTCCTGCCTCTGAGTCCATCCATTCCAAACAATAATTTTTGGAAACATTTGAGAAAATGGTCCAAGTTCTTTTTTTGCCCTCCCTACGTACACGGGTGGGTTAACCTGTTTGTACCACCTTCATATTTAAATGGATATACTAACAGGAACCTGCTAGTAACTTCTCTATCGCTACATGGCTGAGAAACTGTGTACATTTGGAGGAGGCCAGCATTTTCTCCTCAAAGTCTGGAGACAAGTGCATCCTAATCAATGTGATGCCTTCAGAATAAGGTCAAAGTGAAATGACTCAATACACAGTAGCTTACGGGATTGCAATGGCATGATGCATTGTATAATATTTTGCCATTACATCCCTAGTGTTCTTAGCCACCAGACACAGTTTTGGAGTGCAATCAGTATGCTTACCTGCCCATAAAACTTCTGACTAGCTCCTAACCCTGCTAGATCATAGCAAAATACCGCTTGCTCTGTCTTATAGTATTGTGATAAAATGTGTTGAACTTTGTTTGGAGTACACACTTCGTTATTCTCTATGGTCAAAAGTGACCCATACCAGTACCTTGCAATATTTAAGCTTGTTAATAGTACTCTGGTGACCTACAGAGTCCATTACAGTAAGCTGTAAGACAGTAAATCTTCTCAATATCACCCTGACCCTACTTTGGCACCATATGCTTTAAACCATAGCCATCAACCATTTGTGTCAAGAGTGCTCAGAATTGTCCAGCAATGCATCCTTCAACCACACAGTTCCAAGGATGAATAGAAAATGTAAACATAGCTCTCACCATTTCCAGTGAAAGCACTGGGTCTAAGAGAAGGCTTCTCAGTTATAATCCTTGCTATGTTCTCATTTTGAGTCCTCTCTTCAACCATAACTTTCTCGTAAATAAGCACATCTTTACTCACATGTAGTATGGTGTAGTTTGTTGTACATTCTAGCGGGTTTACAGCTTTTTGTTGTTGTTTCAGCTGGCTGCTAGAATAAAAAAAAAAGATTTTCAAATACGTTTGCTCTGGACAAAGACAGCAAGAATTGTATATATTGCACTCTCAAATAAAACAAAGAGTCCAAGTGCAGAATCCCAAATTCCAAAGCTACGTCTGCTTCAGAATATTCTAAATAACACATACAAAGGAGAAAACCTCCAATTCATGCCAATTTGTACAAGTATCTGTGTCAGTTCCTAAGATGGATCCCTCTTCTCTTCCCATAGGGAATGTACTTAGCCAAAGAACCAAGAAAGTACAAGCTATATGTAACACTTACTTACGTATAAGGATCAGCGAAGTTGTGGTATCTATCGACATCTCGTTATTGAGACTGTCATAACTATACGTCGAACACTTAATTGTGTGAAAATTTAGAAAAATTATCCGAATGGAGATATATTCTATACTAATTATGAACGGGTGAAATTAATAGTTATTTCAACTACAATAAGAAGCTGGAAATGTCTACTTTGAAAATAGAAGTTATTGTGAATAAAGATTTATTTTACTTGTTCACTTGTGTTTACAGACGCGGGAATGGAGATTGAAAAGAGCTTTGCCCCTTAAAATTTGCCAAAATAAGAATCAGATGTTCAAAATGTAAAATAATTAACAATGTATATCACATGATCTATGTCTTTTTTACATTGAACTAACTACTCAGCAGTTACCTTAGTTTCGTCCAATGACTGGGTCCATCTCCAGGACAAGAGAAGTGGGTGTGAAAGGTATTACAGTCCAGTAGTTGAGGATATTATATAAAATCTGCGAGTGTTGTTATGTACAGCACTCCAAAATTCAAAATCATTCCCGTGTTTATGTATATGTTTGTTTCTCTTTCTTTGTTTGTTTTGTACAGTATCAGTTGTTGGTGTTTGTTATTAAGCAGAAAACTACACAAAGGATTATCTGAGCTCTGTTCACCACGAGTATCGAAACCTGGTTTCTAGCGGTATAAGTCCAAAGATATACCACTGTGTCAACGGAGAGCTTACAGTAGCATATTTGTATTTCCGGTATATTCAGGTAAAACCAATTTCATGACAAGCATCAGACAGGCAAGCCCGCAAACAATAGCAAATCTATCACGAAATATGGGGAGTCTTTTGAAGCTGAAACTTAACTGAATTTTAAGTTGCGTGAGGAATAAAAAGAATAGACACATTTAAGTGACAGCGAAAACAATTTTTATTCAGCCGTAACATAAAAAACAATGTACATACCTGAGTAGATAAGTGAACGATCGCTTCTACTGGATCGGTGAATAGCTAGCCAGCTTTCCATCTCTCAAGATGAACCTTTGCCGAACTAATTATGATGAAAGCCAAGCAGAAATGAACAAAGAAAGTGCGCCTGTAATTAGCGCGTTAACTTTCTTTTTTGTCCAGTGGACTACGTCACTTCGTGAACTCTGTTTCTTGACAGCATTGGTTGACTGCCAGCTTCAGTCAACGTCACCGTGTTGCCAGCAAAGGATATTTCAGTATTAACCTGTTCAACCTGGATTTTACATATAATATAGAAATATCCCTGCGGGCAGAAGAGACATCACCTACTAGAGAAAAACGGGCAAAGCGGTTAGAACAAGAGAATATTAGCAATTGTGGACTAAGTGTTGCAGCCACGACAGTGCTTAAATTAAATAATCAGTAATTTGGAATAATTATATATTCCTATGGAAGGTAAGAAACTCATGATATGCTCGCATGTCATAAGTGTACTAATACCACAAACTTTTTCCACGAATTCATCTAAGAGTATTAATGTATTTTGAACACAAATTAATTGCAAGTTTTATACATTAAAATATCATTGGAGTATGATACTATTTCTCACTGTATAAAACTTTAAAATGCTGGACCGTATAAAAGGGTTGTTGAAAAACGCCCAGTCATTTTTGAACGAGGAGATTAAAACTCGAATCAATTATATTTTTTATCAATAATTTACCCATTCTATGAATTTAAAAAAGGAAATTATTATTGATGCTTATCAGAATGCTCCACAAAAGTTACCTTTTAGCCTTTTCTTTTTATTAATTAAAATAATTAACGAATAATAACCCAAGGGTTCTAAAAACGCACGCCATGCAAATGACTTAATCGAACGCTTACATCATGATAACTGAACACACAATAGAAATTCATAAATTTTGTTATAGCGTATATAAAGAATACACAAATTTTAGATGGACTGAAAGGTAATTGTTGAAAGGTGCCTTTGAAAATTGAAATTAATATCAGCTTGACAGTTTTGATTTCATAAACTAATTACGTAATAAACAAGTTATTACTTTAAAATGTAAGAATATTATGACTGTGCTTTTGACTGACACTGTAAGACAAATTAAAAAGTCATTCTTACTGATTTTTATTTTATTTTTCAGGAATGTGAAATGTAACTTATTAAACATAAAGAAGATCCAATGTTTTGGTTAAAAAATGTTTTTGCTGAATCCTGGTGGTCATCTAAAACATGACTGAAAATGCGATGACTTGAGTAGAGATTATACTATAATTTATTAGTACCATATGTTCTGAAATTAACGTTGAATACACTACGAAGGGTCAAAAGTAACTTACAGTACTCAATTTGTAAAAGAAAAGGGGGAAAATGACATTCGGGTGATGAACTTTCTAAAATCAATGTACAGCTGACCTATATTTGGCAAAATAAATCAAATTATTAAATCATAAATGGCCATTCTGTCACTGTCAGGTATTTACTCAAATTACCGTAATAATACGTAATAATTTAGGCTTAAGTTAAAATAGAACTAGAAACAATGTTAATATTGTTGTTTGTTAAGACAAGTTTTAAGATGAGTAGTTTAAAGAAAAATGTAGAACTTAAAAGACACAATATTCCAAATTATAGTAAAAAAAGATTGTTGATATATCAAATAAAGAAAAAATCACACGCGAAGAAAAATTACAAAAAATACTGCAATTTGCAAAATGCAAGGAGAAAATAAAACAGATCAATAGGAAAAGAGTAAAGTGAGAATGAAAGTTAAATTATAGTCACAAAAAAGTGGTATATATAAAAACTTTAATCATTAAAGAAACAATTTAAGCTATGCATTAAAATCACCATTAATAGGAAAATGATATGCTTTTAATTTTGTGATATGATTTAAATGTTGTAACTCCAACATTGTTGTGTTCAAAAATATAGATGGGGGAAAAAAAAGATCAAATTAGGGAATAGGAAAATGTGTGTATATGTTGATATAGAAAGTTCTACCAGTGGTCATTTGTACATAACTAAAACAGGTTGCATGTTAGCTGAAGGACCTGTGGATGTTATGGTTATTATAGGTTAATCCTGTTAAATCTGTTTTAAACATTTTCATATACATCAGCATGCTATGCTTTATAAGAGCACTTTACAATATTATGTTCAGTTATGCTGTGATTGATAGGGATGAACAACTCTTACAAACCAGTATTTCAGTTTAGGACCATCAAACCAAATGAAGTAATTGAGTTGTATACTCAGTTTCATAATATAGACTACAAAAAGGTCAAGATATTAAACTTTGGGCTTTTTTCATCTGGAAATTAGAATAATTAGGGTTAGTTTGATTTAGGCATTCAAAATTGATAATAGTTTAGACAGTCTTTCTATGGTGTTTGATCTAGTTAAGAAGTAGAATCATGGGTGTCTACAGGGGGGAAGGGGGCATTTCTTCCCTGGGAAAATGAGAAACAATGCTTTATTTATTCATTCAGTATATGTATATGAAATTCTAAGTTTTTTATTCACTTTACAATTTAACACTACTTATTACACTTAGTTTTTAGTTCTAATAAAAGTTGCCAGGTTTATCAACTGCTTTACTTAAATTCTCTGGATACCTACCCTGTAGCTAAATATTGAAAAAATATCACTACCACTGTGACTTTTTTAACATTGGACATGGCATGTCTCACTCAGGTCATCAAAGAAACCGACGAGGTCTTGCCGACATCCCCTGGCCCTGATGCAGGCTTGTTGTTCTTACTATACATACACAGTAAATGCCATTGAAATACTGTGCATTATGTGACATCAAATTACCATATTCATTTATGCAGTTGTATTATATAAGTTGAAATTACCCTATTGGGTTAAGAACCTAAAAGAACAAACCAGAATTTTATATTGTGGAGTATATATATAGCTGAAAGTCACCAGTATGGCTTAAACTAATCTTACAAATATTAAAACTATCAAATCTTATCTGTGTGGGAGCTTGCCTATTCTCTTGACTGTAACGGCAAAACTTTGAAGGGGTCCATTGTCTTTGACTTTGCCCCCCCCCCCCCCCTGGATAAATTTCTGTGAAATGGAAATGTTGGAAATCAAATAAAACTTGTAAATTTTAGCTTTGAAAAGCCAGAAGCAGACTTGTTCTTTAACAAAATATTTTTTCATTGAAAGTTACAAATTTATAGTATGCTTTGCCCGATGTGGGATTTGGTGTTAGTCGGAAATTTGTGGTATTGATATTTGGGTTAGTTGTCACCTTGATTGTTTTAGGCAGCCAATAATAATTTGTTAATGTCTAATATAATTTTTATGTAACATATGAATGAGGGTAGGGACCATTTGGTCCATCGAGACTGTTCCTATACACCCACTCTTTAGAAAAGTAAAAACATAAACATTTATTTTTCATGAAATTATCATTTCCCTTTTTAAACTCTTTGTAAAAGTGCCAGCTTCCACAAACACCATCATCAACTTCTCCATTAAGGCAACAAAACTTTAAACTGGAGCCTAACCCATCTTTTAAAGCCATCCAAGCAGTGTGCTGTTGCTGGTGGTAGGGCAAATAGGATTTTAGGTTGTATCTATTGAAATATTAAATACAAGTCTAAAGAGGTTATACTTTCATTGAACATTTTGAATTCAGGCCACATTTTGAATTTTGTGTTCAGTGTTGGGCTCTTTACTTTAGGAAAGACATTGAATTGTTGAAAAGGGTGATTGAGGTGTTTAAGATTGTAAAGTGAATTGATAGTGTTTATGCATCATCATTTTTCATAGTCAACAGTGAGAATAGTAGGATTAGGGGACACACACATAAATTTTAGCAAGGTAGGAGTCATCTTCAGCAAAGACAGTTTCATTTTTCTAACAGGGTGGTTGGCCTTTGGAATAGGTTGCCTTCATATGTTGTGGAAGCAGTATATTTAAGTGAGTTTAAGAAAAAGCTTGATAAGTATATGAATGATACAGGCTGGCTGTAAGATTTTTTAAAATTATTGTAATTTAGTTTAGAGAATGGAACAGCCAAAATGGACCAATAGGTCCCATGTTGTTCGAAAACATTGTTATGTCTTTTTCTAGGTTTCTTAAATTTCTAGCTCCAGGATACAGAACAAAGAAATTAAAGGTCTTTATCCTCTTGATCCCCCAGACAAGATAATATTGTAAACTTCAGTACGATCAGCTCTTATCATTCTTTTCTCAAGAGAAAATAAGAGATCTTAACCTATTAGGATAATATAACTCTTCCAACCCTAGAAGTAGCCTTCTTCTGAACCCTTTCCAATAAGTCAGTATCCTCTATGTTTATGATAAGTTTCTTTGATATTATTGTACATAATTTTAAGAAAATCTTGGGATCATCAAAATCCAAAAGCTCCCAGATATATTGATGTGTCTTTAATGGTTTTGAACTATTAAAAAAAATAATTACCTTTCTTAAATTAGGGGTTTGGTTCTCCTGTGAAAAAAAAATTACCTCCATTTTTCTCTTTTTGTCATTTTATATTGCTATAATAAATTAGTTTTTTATTTATTTTACCGTTGTAACAATTTTCTGGTCCTTTGAATCTTTTATGGTTTTATGAGTTAATAAGTGTACAGGGTGTCCAAAAAGTCTGTAATCATAGGCACTTTCAACACATTTTACAGAATGTATTCTACGTGTTGTCCTTGTAATTCAAGACAAGTTTGGTTTAACAGCAGGATTAACTCGACCTTCTCATGCTTTGACAGAACCATAATCAGTTACGTATCTGAAATTAAGAAAAGCTGCAAATCACCTATGATTCCAGGTGTTTTGGAAACCCTGTATAAGGTTTTCATTTGTGTATATTTGGGTGTTTCTTGACATCACTGGACTCTTTAATTGGTTAAGCATGGATTATTTATATTTACACTACTGTGATTTTTCCCATTATGATCGTATACATTTGATAGTAACAAGTGGTATTTGAAGTTTATCTTGATATAAGTAGAAATAGAGAGATTTGGGTGCTGCTATAGCCTGCAGTATACAAAGATATTTACACTATAATGTGCGGTGTACACAGAGATTATCATCATCACCGTTTTAAATTTCATTGATTTGCTAATAAAGTACAAAATACCATTACATAATGTTTTTGGGCCAAATATAATCAGAATAAAATAAATTCCAACAATCAAAACAAGCACAGTTATAACATAAATTTAAGATACTCCTCTGGAACACACAACTTATTAAATTATTATTATTTGCTAAACAAACTCGTGGATAAATATATATAAATTATTTAGTAAGAAATTATGTTTTAGTGAAACATTTAAACAGTGATGATGATAACAGACTGCACGCTATAGTGGCACCAAGATTTGTTTGTTAAAATTGTATTAACCCTGCATTAGTATTCTGTAAAAAAGTTTCCAAGTCACTCTTCCAGATTCCGAGCAGACCCCATCATAAAAAATTAATTTAAGTAATAATAAACTATTATTTTGGAAACACTAACACTCTAAATCTGTTCCTTTATCAATCAATAAATGAACATTTAATATTACAATTTCTTTTTTTTTATCACCTAAGCTAAGTATAACAATTTAACACAAACTAGCTGAATACTAAAACTACTGAAAACAACAAACTCGTATGTGCTTCCATCTGTTGGCACTGATGTTTACAAAATATTTGGGAGCAACCCTGGAAGACTAATCCAGGGTTAAAAATTCTCTAATTTTAACTTGATTTTCAGCTTAGATAGAAGGTTGATGCTCTACATCTTGAGCCACTGTATCTCATTCACTTGCAATTTATCAGGCTGTTGTTTTAATTACTGACTTTTTCATCAGTATTACAATGTAATAATTATGTTGTTACTAATGTTACTTTTCTGAATACTAATTCTAAATAGAATAGAAATGGAATTGCTTTTATGTATTCTAATCCGATTCAGTGAAAAAAAATGTATATATATTTTTCAGGAATGCTGAATGCCTTGCAAGTGCTTAAATGTCTGAAAACATTTACAGATTGACATTAAAAAAAGCTTTTGTGTACCAGTTCCACCATCTTCTGTTTGATGAGACTACAGTTCAGAACAGTTGAAAGGATTTCTATTCAACTCTCAGAATGAAAGGATATTTAATTTTTGATAATCTGAATGATTTGGTTTTCATAAAAACTGATAATTCAATGAAAAAACATCTGCAGAAAGCTGCAGCTCAGAATGGCTTCGTTGAAACCCACGTAAGTGCTGTTTGATTTTGATGGTAGAAATAAGTAGTAGTTTTTTTCTTGGTTTCAGCTGTCAAGGCATCTTTCTCTTTAGTGGTGATATAAAGGAAGTCAGTAACCACTTTGATTGCTTAAAGCATTTCTACAATGTCTTAAAACAGAGACTACAGATTATCACATCTATAGTGTGAAAAGAACGTTAGGTATTCATAGTAAATGACACTTTTTTTCATTCAATAATTTAGGGTTGTTCTTGTTAAAACTAACAAAAAATCTCTTAGCCTTTGTATGTAAATATCTTTTGTACTTCCTAAGCTCTTAGACCAGTGGTTTCTAAACTGTGTGTCAAAATACACAAGTATATCATGGCAAGGGGTGTTGTGAGAGTTTCATCACATGAAGAATGATTAAGAATATAAAGAAAAATATTTCATGTAGCGGCAGGGGTGTTGTGTAAATCAAGGTTAGTGGGCTAGGGTTTAGAAACCACTGCCTTAGATATTTGTAGCGGCAAAGAAAAATAGTGTTCAAGGAGACCACAAAAGTGAGCAAGCTAGCTAAGACTGCTTCAAAACCAATACTTATAAATAGATTTTCACAAAAATATTTATTAAATAACTTAAAGTTCTTAGAAAAAAACTTAGATTTTGTGGTAATTTATTTTATTTTTAGGATGTCATTTTGTAATCATCATTTTTCTATATATATATATATATATAGTATTGAATTGTTAGTAAAGTAATTATTTATTTTTAGGGTGATTCTGGATCATTTGACTACATATCTGACCAAACGGATGGATACAGTCGAGGAGGTATAGACATAAGCCGAAATGCTATTGTGCAGCTGTTTTCTCCACTCATTACCTCTCAACGTGTCATGCTGGGCCAATTCCTGAATCTCTATACTTTAGTAGAATGTAGTGACGGAGTATTAATGGCATTTAAAGAGGTATTTGAGCTTGTGAAGTTGTATTGATATCGTGCACACATAGTGACGTGGAGCTAGTTTTTGATGTTCATTGAATTGGTGCATATCCGTGGTGAATGGTATGATTTTTACATACGCAAACTTTAAAAGTAGGACTGGTGAAAAAAAAAGTAACCATTTTATGCACATAAAAAAGTGTGTTGCAATAAAACTAAAGCATATGATGTGGTGGAAAGCTACTTTTATGTGAGATGTATACTAAGCTTCTGTCCCTCTTTATTCCTTTTTTTATTCCCCCTTAGCCTTAAGTGTTTGGGCACATGATTTAGTTTGGAGTCATTTGCTTAGAAATCATTCTTTTTCATAAGTGTCGACTACCTTAAAATAATTATTTTAATACACAGTAGCTAATTCTAACAAGTAGAATATCTGATATATAAAATTAAGATGTCAGGTTTCCTGTATTGCAACCATTGATAAATAGGAGGGTGCGAAAAATACTGCGTCTTGGCTCTTGTGCGTAGCTGACTATATGTTGGAAGATGGGGAACAAAGTGTTTAGCATCAACAGTTGCTTGGAAGAATTTTTTTTTTCATTGTTTATTCTATTATCCTTTTTTAAAATCATTTTTGGTGGATTTGTTTGGTCTAATTTTTTTATTAACTATTCAGATTCTAAGAGTTTGATCTATACCCTACGTTCAATTGTTTTACATAAAACATTCTGTATAGAACTAGAACACTGAAGAGATCTTAAGTAAAACGTAAAACATAAAAGGCAAAAACTTATTTAAAAAACGGATACATCAAACTTTAATTTCACACAATCTTAATAATATCCATTTTTTCAAGTTACTTTCACCCTACCAATAATGCTATTTTATAAAAGGTATTTCATGTACCATAGTTTGAAGTAATGTTATTTTTAGTATTTAGGTTTTTTGTTCATATGCGTGGGAACTTTGAAAGAAGACACACAGTTGATATTGGAGAGAAGACTACACGTGTTTTTGGTGTCTGTTAAACTGTTGTACGGACCTGCTGTTCATCTGTGAGTGGAGTATCTTTACGTGAATTAACAACATTAAGTTAATTCATTATAATGTTGGGTTATTAATGTGTATATGTTTGTGTTATTAACTTAAACTGTATGTGCTAAAATACTTCTTTAAACGTAAGCCGTATGAGTGTAGGCTATTTTTGTATATGTGTATTTAAAAAATGGCTGTACAATTTGGAATGAAGGCTTGTTTATAACATCAGGCATTTTAGGTTTTCTAAATATTTAACTTAATATCAAATAATGACTTTTCAGACATTCTTTTTTGTCCTTCAAGGGATGGAGGAAATTGTGAATATAACGATAATAATTTCTGCCTAAACTTTATCTATTTGTAATTTGGTTTGTGTAGTTTTGCATTTTTTTTTTGTGAAGCCTTAAGGATGACTATGTGGGGAACAGTAGGAAGGCTGTGATCCTTACAGAGATCTTTGATAAGTGGGATGAGCTGAGATTACGTGAGCAGTCCTTTCTTGTGGAAGTAAGTACGAGATATTTCTGACTTCTGTAAAGAACCTGTCTTAGGTGCAAGTTGTGAAAAACTTGAAATTCCGATATGGTCTTACCTCCTCTTACACAAAACTATCTTGATTTTCTTTCTGCCCTCTAAGCATTGCTAAAAAAATTTTCACACTCAGCACACCAGTCTATATACCCCACCAATTTTGCACCATTATTGAACATGTACATATCATGTGATTACTCTCTACCAATTGTATTGTGCCACCTATATTGATGCAGATAGCTCCCTCTGCTGTTCTCACTCAATCCTCACTTTCTTGATTGGCACAGCTTCATATAGATGTGCGTTTTTTTGCATGTGGCTACCATTTATGATTTTACTTCTTTGCCATTTCAGATTTATTTTCAGCAGTTTTCTTTTACTGTGCTTGCATTCAGTTGTTTCAACAATATATATATATATATATATTTTTTTTGCATTTCTTTTCAGCAGTTTTCTTTTACTGCGCTTGCATTCAGTTGTTTCAACAATATATATATTTTTTTTTTGCATTTCTTTTCAGTAGTTTTCTTTTACTGTGCTTGCATTCAGTTGTTTCAACAATATATATTTTTTGCATTTCTTTTCAGCAGTTTTCTTTTACTGTGCTTGTATTCAGTTGTTTCAACAATATATATATTTTTTCATTTGTTTCTTGTTACTAAATTATATGTGAATTTAGGACTTTCCAGGAATTGGGTTTGACTTTATCTGCAGAGGAGGTACAAGCTTTAATTTGCAGGAAGCTAGATTAATATGTTCGGCTGGATGATTTCTTCTTCCTTTCAATCTGACAATGTTGCTGAGGAAGAATACAATTTGGACTTTCTTTTCTGGCACTTTTTTATTTTGGTCTGTCACACGCTACACCTCTTCAGGAGACGATTTCACCTTCCACACCATTTTTTATAGCTGGTTACTCAGGTTGACACATATTCAGTTTTTCCTGTATGTTTGAGACGAGGGTGATTTTGCTACTTTTCTCTGCTCCTGTTGTTGTGCCTCCATGTTTTTTCACTTTGGGAAAGGTTTGTTCTTTTTTCCTCCTTTCTTCCTGTTGCTTCCAGATCCAAAGGAAATTTGAGATGAGAAAAAGTATTTTTAATTTCAACATGAAAATTTCTTTGTACATGGACTATTCAAAACAAATACTCAATATATTCATGGACAAATCTTTATTTTATTAAAAATACTTCACTAAAAAATATGATTTTTTGTATGTGAAAGACTTATAATATTAACTGAAAGACTGACAGATTTTGTGAAGATATACACACTATATTGAAAGTTAGTAGTATTAAATCTATAAAGACTTTAAACGAGTACAAAGAGGTCACGTGGTCGGTCAAATTGACCGAGCCCTTGTTGAGAGAGTTAATTTGTTTGCATTGCTTAATTGCTGACATGTTCATCTCTTTCAAATTCATAGAACAGAGCTTTGCTTTGGCTTCATTTTCTACATTCTTGATACTAGCAATTAAATTTTCTTCTTGTACTCTACAATTCAGGGTTTGTCCCCACACTACCCACATCATTTCAGTTTAGGGCCCTACTGTTTGACTAACCTGAGCTCCTTATGTGTTTTGTCCAACATCTTCACTCAATGTGTCTTCACACCCATCATTACATAGACTATTGGATCCTGCTTGCTTTTTCTCATTCACAGCCCAGAGACGACACTCATCTGCTCCTACAAGAATTAGCACAGGTTTGATTCCTGATAAAGGTAGAGAAGTCTGTTCTTACCTCCTCTCGATATCTTGTTCATTTGGGGATTTTCTTCAATTTCAACCTCAATCGAATCAAGCCCTTTTTCTTTGGGATATGAAGCAGGCAGTTCACAAGACCCTCACCTCACATTCTCTCGCAAGTGGAGAGGTTCTATCTCTTTTGGGGATGTCGGCTTCCTTGGAAGCCCCCATTCCCATTGGTCACGCTCATATGTGTTCTCTTCAGTGGATACTTCTTGATAAGGGCTAACCTGGATTGGTGGCTAGACAGGGACCAGACCACGGTGGGGGGTTCCACTTCCTCCACCTCGTCTGGATTTACATCTGGTCACAGGTGTATCTTTAGAGGTTAGAGGTGCTTACCTCGACTCTCAGGAAATTTCAGATATCTAGTTGGTTGAGGAGTCTTCTCTTCATATCAACTTTCTCAAACTTATGGTGGTTCATCAAGCTTTTTTGTACTTCCTTACTCTCCTGTGGGTGAAGGTGGTTATGATACACTCCGACAACTCCACGGTGGTCACTTATATCATGAAGCAAGGAGGTACCAAATCCAAGTCTGTGCTGTCAGACCCTGGATCTCCTTTTCTGGGCCCACAGTCACCACATGGTGGTTTTAGCTTGCCATGTTCCTTGCATGATGCAACTGGATGGAAATTGTTTATCTCAACCAAACAAGATTCACCCCATGGAATGGTCTCTCAATACACAAGTGTTTTGGTGGGTGTGTTCTCAGCTAGAACACCTCATATTGGTGCTTTTGCCACCCACTGGAATCCAAATGTCCTTCCTTTTGGTCTCCTGTTCCACACCCACAAGCTCTGGGAGTGGACTCATTCAGTCAAGATTGGAGGGTTCATCACATATATACTTCCCCTCCCATTCAACTCCTCCCCAGAGTTCTATCCATAATCCAAATCACTCCATGTCTAGTTCTCTGGTGGCTCTGTATTGGCCGGCACAACCATGGTTCCCACTGATCCAACCTTTACTTGTACAACCTTCTCTATCCTTTCTTCTGTCTCAGTCTGTACTCCGTCAACCTTGGTCAGACATTGTTCATCCAGACATCATCCCCCCCCCACCCCATCTTCACCCATGGCTTTTGTCAGGTGGATATTGTCTCCCTCCCACTGCAATTCCACCCATGTCCACTCACCTTTGACTGGGATAAGTCTTATCAGATCATTTTGTTTATACTTTCTTTTCAGAGACCCTCTTTTTTTTACCACTTCTAATAGGATCCCACTCTGTGGTGGATGTTGCCTGGTCAAACCTGGTTGCAATATAATGCTCACTATAAAGGTAGGGTGTTCCCAAGACCAGTTGTGGCATGCCCAGTGATATGTACATATGTTTCTCATTATCCATAAGTGGACCATTACTTATGGACTTTCATGAATAAAGTAGAAAGGAGTTTCTGCTTATCCCTGCCGACCCCTTGAGTGAATAAATCGGGGACGGTCTGCTTTTCAAAATAAGGAATCATAGACACCCATAGCAATTTCTCCAGTGTGATGTTCATCCAGACTCTCCACCACATTTACTTCCCTCCTTTTTTCTCCAAGTGGAGCAAGGGAGTCTTTACCACTTCTCAGTTCCCAATTGCTGATGTGGTGGACCATGGAGGCTTCCTCCTGAGTGCATTGTAGACTTACCGTATATCCATTCAGTGAGAATAGGGTAAAGCTGGTTTTCCCCTTCCATTTCCCCTGGATGCTTAATTCCAGGTGGACAGTTGTCAGTTGGAGCAGTACCAGCCTTCATGGGATCTTCTTCATAATACCGGGTTTGGGATGACACTGCCCTGTTCCTACAGTTGTGTGCAGTAGAGGCCTCACTTCTCGTTAATTTTCCCTGCTCCTATGGTTGAACTTAGGACATAATATTGGCAACAGGACATCCTTATATTGTTTCTATGTTGAGAAAATGTTTCATATCCTCTTCATAATTCTGGATGCAGGATATCTTTTCCATGCATTTATGGTTGGGTGAGTTGAGATTTCTGCTCTCAATTTTAGTTACAGATATTGTCCTGTTCTTATGTTTGAGTTGAGGCAACGCCATGACCCCGTAATGCCCTAGTTTGGTTTGTTGTACTTTTTGTTCCTATGGTGGTTTGGGAAGTTTGTCCAGTTTTGGCCGCATGCTAACTTTCTCTTTGTGATTTTGGTTGCTTGACATATGACACTTACAGATGTGATTCATGTGTCTATGTAACACAGTCCACATGCCCTAGCCACAGTGTTTGTGTTATTCCATGTTTTTTTTTTATCTGATTGATACTCAACCTCCTATCTCTTTGTGATTTTGGTTGCTTGACATATGACACTTACAGATGTGATTCATGTGTCTATGTAACACAGTCCACATGCCCTAGCCACAGTGTTTGTGTTA